AATACAGACCGATGCCTACCAGTGCGACCTCTCGGGACACTTTGAAATGCGAGATACGTTTACACATCCAATCGGTTTGGATGGACGTGACGGGCACTCCCGGTCGGCGTAGGATCAGCTCTTTGCCACCCGTGTTGGCCATCGATGACCCGTTTTTGGGCCCGGTTTTAGAGTTGGACGGCATCAGTACTCTCAGTGAACTCATCATTAAATTGCTTTTGTTATACAAAACGTCGTTTATATTTATATCAAGTTAAATCACAAACTTATTTTATATTAATGTAAAAGTTATTTATATTTATTTGCGGATACTTTTTGGCTCGGAATCGGAGACACAAATGCAAAAATTATTGATTTGAAAAATCAAAATAACTTTATTTAGTGGTCAATGAAATATGGTTTACGTTTTGAGGTATAATTGGCACAAAATTACGATTACTTTTGATATTTATATTTTGAAACTACTATTTGTAGTAAACAAGAAGTGAAAGAGTTTTGTTATTATAATTAAAATAATAATTATAATATTTATAAGAAATTCCTTGACTTCAATAAACTACACGTTTGTATGTATTGAGCGATTATATTGAGTATAAATATTAACAATATGTTTGTTAATGAGTTTTTAATACAAAAAACAGATCACAAGTTATAATATGAAGTTAAAACTCTTTCATTTAGTGTACAAAACACGTTAAAATCAACATAAAATTGAATTCCCAGTGAACACGGACTGTGAACGTGATCAGCCAAACAAACTTGGTTAACAAATCACCACAAAATTTTTGCTCTTTAATAAAATAAAAAGTTTTTTTTTGTTAGTTTTGTTGTTATTATGATTATTAAAGTCTTTGCAAATGAAATGAGTTTAAAAAGCTTTGAATCATTTAATTGAATTTTTGTGTTTAAAAACTCGTTTTTCAGCTAAATTCTCATTGATTTCGTAAAGTCTGACAAAAAATATTCCGATAAAATAAATGGTATTAAAAAAAGTTAGTTAATTATATATACAGTAAGTTTATATTCTGGTTTTAATAGTATTTCTGTTAAATATATTTTAAAAGTGCACAAAACACCATATTTTCAAGTTATCCTTGAGATTACTACTGAAACCGAGAGAGAGAGAGAGCGCTCGTTTATAATTAATACTCTCTCACATTAATGCTTGAATACCTGTCCAGAGATCTGATCCAACGATCAATGTTTGAAAAAAACCTTCAAAACGATATAAAATAATGTGATATAAGAATTGAATAAATGAAGTGAAGTATAATTAACTATAAATAAAAAGCTGTACTATAATCGTCTCTACTATACAATACACTATACGATGAATAGTGTGTTAATTATATAAATATTCATTTCAAAACTCACATGACTTTTTACCGTAATCATTAAATTTATTTCTGGAAACAGATTTACCACTTTTTAATCCAACAAAGAATGTATACTATATACTGTATTAGTGAGAATAATTCTTACCTACTATATAATTGATAGTTAAGCTAGGTCGCATGATGTCACTACATTCACTAACTTAATAGTGGTATCGATTGATATTATATGCTATGCTATATAAGTATATTTCCCATATAGGAATGGAGGTAACTGTACTGTACTGTACTATTCTGTACACAAAATTCTACCAAAATTCTGTGCACTGTTTGGAGTAGACTAACCAAATGCAATACAATTATAATTTTTATTTTATTTAAGACTAGCCATGCATTTAATGTTAACACAACCCGGTACAAAATATATTACAAAATTAAAATTGTGTTAAAAACTAACAGGGAACATCTAAACATGATGTTTTTTATTTTATTCTGATAGATATTTACTTTCATAAATTGTACAATGAGTCAAATGTGGTCATCCTATTGAGTAAATCAAAAAGATTGAACACAAGAAAAACTAAACGTCAATAATATGTCAATTGTTAATAAAAAGCCATAAAATACAGTCGTCTATACGATTGGATCAACTATTCGATGGCCATTCGCACGGATGGACACGATATGAAACACTGGCTATTCATTATCAGCTCATTGTTGTTATTAACACAGATTCGGTAATTATTATTACAAAACAATTAGCATAATGTTTATTCTGCTATATTTGCTGTATTTAATCATAACATACACTATAAAACTGTGTTATAAATGTGCTTGAATTGAATGAATGCACAGGACGTCAGGCAAAGGCGCCTCCAATTTCCGGGCCATTGAGAAGCGTATACTCGACTCCATTATCGGCGACGGACGCTATGACTCCCGTATCAGACCGTCCGGTGCCAACGCCAGCGCTGGTCAGGGTATGTATACATACAGTATAAACAAATTGCTATTACATACAGTATACCATAGTGTGCTATAGAATATTCTGTATTGACCTGAATGCACAAAATACTCATATGATTTACATGAATATTAATGAAATATATGTTTTAAAATAGCATTTAAAATCACATTTAATATTTATTAGACGGTCCGGCGCTCGTCTCCATTAACATATACGTTAGGAGTATATCCAGTATAGATGATGTGACCATGGTAAGTTATATGCATATTCAGTACAGCATGTTGTATGTGATTTAAATACATTTATTTGCTATAAAAATCAGTATTAATCGATTCTTAATGAGTATAACAACATATTATTAAAGTAAAATACATTTTGCATTAAACTATCATTAATTCCAACATAATTATCATTAATACAAGGAATTAGTATTCATTGAGTGCCTTAACCCTCACTAAAAACAAAGATATTCTTGGTTTGAATGACAATTATAAATTGTGTTATTTTACAAATTCGCTAACATGAATTAAATTTGTATATATTTGCCTAGAACAAATTTTATTAACACAAAGAATGAGTGTGTGTTTCGCCAGTCGTTGGCGGAGAATATTCTGACCGAATCGGGCGTT